TGGAGGTCAACGGCGTCAACGTGGACAAGGAGACGCATCACCAGGTGCGGCCCCGGCCCCCGGCCCGCAGGGGTCTCAGGGCAGCACCCGGACCCTGCCCCGACGTCCTGGGGTCCTCCCAGCCACCCCCTGCCTGCTCACCGACATACCCTGCTGGGCCAGGGCCAGGGCCAGGGCCAGGAGGAGCTGGAATAGAGGTCCAGACAACTGCCCTAAAACCCTGGGGTCCTCCCAGCCAGCCCCCTGCCCACTCATGTAGATGCCCCGCTGGGCTGGGACCAGGAGGAGCTGGACAGGAGGTCCGGAGAACTGCACCACAGTCCTGGGGTCCTCCGAACCAGCTCACATAGATGCCCTGCTGGGCTACGGCCAGGAGGAGCCGGCCAGCAAGTCCCGGGACTTGGTGGGGAGGGCATCAAGGAAGAGGTGCAGGGAGTCTCAGCAGGAGGGTTAGGATGAGGAGACAGGGTGGTTTCTGGCTGTGTTTTTGTGACCGTGGGGCTCCCTGCCTAGCAGGGCAAACCCCTGACCTTTGCAGGGGGCTGGGGAAAAGCTAGGCAAATGTTCAGATGAGGTTCTTTGGGTCAGTCCGAGCTCTTTTATTAGATCAGCTCAAATAGTTGGAAAAAACGTACCGCCCCCGAGGCAAATGTTCCTTGCTTGTTACTAGGGTAAAATGGGGATTTCTGTTGATTGCAGCTTGAACTGGACACGTAACGGTGGGGACGAGATCTCTTGCTGGCTTGGTGCTGAGCAGTTCTGTGTGGCTATCTGTTTAGGGCAGTAGGGGCTTGAATATATTCGTAGCTTAAAGCATATGGCAGGGACCCCCTGGAAGCGTGCTGCGTTTGTCAGGTATTGGTCTGTCTCCTGCGTGCTTCAGGGACTGACCAGGATAGTGGGCTTCAGTGATGAATTGCTGCTAGCGGGTCCTAGAGGCGTGGGTGCTTGATGATCAGCTCATTGGCGCAGTGATCTCTCCAGCCAGGGTGCCAGCTGTGAGGTCCTTTTAAGGGTGGCACACAGCGTGGTGCAATATTAGGGGTGCAGACAGCTATGCATGATTCACAAGGTAAACCCAGAGATTTTAAGTAATATCAAAAACGTCCTGCCCTGTTGTGGGCTTTTTTTTTTTTTTTGGCAACTTTTTTTTTGTGGTCAAGAAACAAGTGAAAGCTAAGAGCTGGCATTTTCTGAGGCCCAGGAGTGCCCGGAGTCCAGCAAGGGGCCCTGAGTATAAGGTTGAAAACCGGTGCAGGGCATCGGAGCAGTTTGTGGTCTCGGTAGTGCTGCAATATGGAGTTGAGCTTGCTAACACCCACACTGGATTTGGCTCTTATTGTTTGTTCATTAGTAAAACAGACCCAGGCGAGCCGAGCACCCTCTGCAAAAGTGAACACGAGCCCTTTCGTTCTGATTTGGAATCGAGTCAGGCTCCATCTCTTCCTCTCTTCTAATTGCTGGGAGGAAAAGGGAGCTCCTGTTACATATGGAGCTGCGTTTCCCATCGGAGAAGTGTCAGGGCTCTTCATATGAAAATCTGATGGGGCGATGATGGGTGATTTAACGTGTCTGAAATGTGTGGGCTTTCTAGTTGTGTGGCGTAAGTGAAATGAGGGGTCTGTCATCTTCTTCATGTTTCCTTCTCCTTGCAAATAGCCCAGCAGATTTCAAAATATTCAGTGTTTCGACAAATAAAGTTAGCATTTGGGATCTCAGCAGGTAGGATGACGTTACGAGGCTGGCAATCCTTATGCTTGAGGACAAAATGCCCAATATTTTCTGGTGTTCCTTGCCCTAAGTGATACCAGGGTGCCGGACTAAAGGGCAATACCAGGGTATTGGACTCCACAGCTTTTCCCATTCTCTTTAGCACAGTGGCCTTTGAGCGAATAGCCCTTTTACCTCTAGCCCTGAAATGACCCATAGCAAAGATCCTTAGTCTGTTCACGGTTGTTGCAAGCTCGGGAAGTTGACGTTTTTGGACATTTTCATGGTGTTTGCTTGTTTCCCTGACTTCTGGTTTTTTTTTTTCCTCCTAAATGCAAACAAGCTGCAAAGCTAAGTGTGGAAGGTCTGTTCAAGGCACCACACTCCTATCTTGGCATCCTCCTCCTCAGTATTTGTGACTAGGCAGGAAAATGAATGTGTGCTGGTTAACGCTGCACAACTATAAGGCCGCTGCCTAAACCACCCTTGATGAGAGCTATAACTAAGGGGAAAAATCTATTTTACAATTGGCTGGGCTGAAGCATAATTTACGGGCAGAAAGTGGCCTTTACTAATGTGGGAGAATCGCTCAGCTTTGGTTCGCTTTGCTTAGCAATGAAAGTGCTTTTGTTGCAGAGCTGGTGCAGTTAGTTCTGTTCTGTCTTCCTTGGGCTGCGTCCACATTTCGGGGGAAAGGTGTGTTTCTTTATGTGCAGTATTGGCTAGCCCAGGTTAAAGTCCTAGCGTGGACAAGGCAGGTTGCAGTTGTAATGCTCCTCTACCATTTAACCCTGGGTGACCTCTTCCCTGCTTATCTAGTGCAGTTCAGATCCCCAGATGAGCTGGCAGCTGAGATGAGCTGGTGCCGGCCCTTAGCAAAAGCTCCTTTTCAATTGTAAACCTGGTTGTGGATTGCTGGGCATGTTTGGGAGAGGGCGCAATGTCGTTTTAAGGGTCCGCTTCACAGCTGCGTTTCAGCAATGATGAGGTAAGGGTGGGGGGTGGAGATTGCCTTGATAAATATTAGCCCTGGAGCTTTGCTGGGCCTGCAGCCTGATTCTTCCACGCCAGATTTGTCAGGATTCTGCTAATTGGCCCGGCACTTCAAATGTTAATGAAGGTTGCGTAATTATAGGGAGGCATAAGGAAAGTCTGTCTCGGGTCTTGCCCCCAAAAAGCAGTCACGCACAGACTGAAGACGCGCAGTAATTGATTTCAAACCTGGTGACTGCCCCGTGCTAGCCCACCTCTTCCTGCTAAAAAGCACTGTTAGCAACACCAGGAAAAGCTGTTGGACTGGGTGTGCAGTGATCAGCAGAAACAGAAAGACGTTCATGTTCCCAAACTTCGGTGTATGCTCTAATTATAATGGTGATGAGGCTGGCAGGAGGGTTGCAGAATGACTTTCCCACATAGGGGGTGAGAGCCTCATCACTTCAGACATTAAAAGCTAGACAGTTTCTTAGATGGTAGGGGCTGGAGGAGACCTTACAGCCCCCCTGCACTTGGGCAGGAAAGACCGCTGGGATCAGATGACCCCAGCAAGACAGGGCAAAGAGTTGGGAAACGCATTGCAGGGAACAAAGCTGAATGGGTCTGGGAAATGGCTGAGAAGAGGGAGGACTAGGTTACTGGTGTCTGTAAGCTCTGTAGGTAACTAAGCCCCACAATACTTGTGAGTTAGGGGTTTTATCAACCTCATTGGACAGAGGTGAAACTGCGGCACAGAGAAAACAGAGTGCTTTGCCCAGATCCCTGGAGAGAGTCCGTGTGCAAGCTCGGATCGGACTTCAGAGACCTTCGCTCCTGCTGTTTACTAGACCGCAGACTTCAAACTTTTGAAGTCGTTGTCCGGTAGGGCTCCAGTGCCAGAACTGAAAAGCACGGTGGGATTGTGGCCCCTGGGATAATCCTGCTGCTCAATGCCTAGATGGCCCCCCGTTCCAGTTACACCCTTTGGCTGTCTTGCTTCCAGCCTCAGCAGAGCCTGTGGAGGGTATTCACCTTCCGGGTCTCCTCAGGTCAGGGTGGAGGCATGCTGCTGGGGAAGCTGGCCTGGGGGGACACTTGCCCTGCTTGTGTCCATGCTGTCTCTATTGTATAGCAAAGCTGGGGCCTCCAGCAGTTCCCACCAACACCTGCCCCTCCAGAACAGCTGTCTCATCCCATTGAAATGGTCTGAGCAGCCGTGAGCCCAGCAGTTCAGTGAGCTACCAGGAGGAGCCCTGATGATGAATCCTTTTCACAGCCGCCTCCTCCCTTCCACCATGTTTCATTGTCAAAAAAGCCTCGATTGCTTTGCAGATGAACGGAGGGGCCTGGTGGGGTCTTCCAGCATGAGCTGTAGCTAGTGCACGGTTGCGTTGCTCGCACCATAACTCTGTGGGCTTGTTCGGAGTCGCTAGTTTTCGATGGGTTTGGGGGGCAGGGTTTTGCCAGCCTTGCAGCGCTGAAAGAGTTTCCCTGGGCCGTGGCTGCTTGCAGCAATCAGGGACTGGACCCACTGAGGTGAGAGGTCCCTGCCTGGCTTGTGCTCCTAAGATGGCAACAGGCCAGGAATTTGGCAGCATCCTCTCTGCAGAGGTGCACAGCAAGGACTTTGGGAGTGCTCTGAAGATGCTGACACTCTCCAGGGGACCAAAACGCCCCTTCTCCCTGGTGGCTGTTGCAGGAGGGAGCAGAGGGGCAGTCAGGATTGGGGCCCCATTGGGCAGTGCCCCAGAGGTGCAGTCAGGATTGGGGCCCCATTGGGCAGTGCTGCCTTAGGAAGTGCCATCGCACCCTGGTAAGGGCTAGGGCTCCCTGCAGATGCTCTGCCAACTGAATGGTCCTAGCCAGCTGGGGTGGCACCTGCGTCCCCCACCACAGCCGCCTCTGCTGCCCGGAGAGGCTGACTTGCACTGTCACTGCCTCCCGTCTCCCTCAGCAGCTAGTGTGATGCCGAATCCCAGCAGGTCTGATGGGGAGAGAGGGGCCTGATTGAATAGCACTCTCCAGGCGGGTAATGGATAGGTTGGCTCCAGGTCCAGGGCAGACCGTGGCACGACAATCAGCATTTGCTGGATGAGCAGGTTCAGGAGGAGTCACAGGCAGTCCATAAATTTCTCCTTGGCCATTTCTCGCAGGTGGATGCCAGTGCGATGCCCTTGAATGGAGAGTGCCGCAGAGTCAGTAAATCGTGGGCAGTCTGTTTGTCACTTATAGCCTTGGAGAGTGCCATCCATCCTGTGTGGCTGTGACAGCTTGGAGCAAGAGGGCCAGGCCCTGTCAGAAAGCACGGTGCAGGAGTAGTCTACTGGGAGCAAGCAGGGACAGGCCCGTGCGCGGGCTGGGCTGGTGCCGCTGCATGGGAAGTGTCTGGCTAGCTCCTTACTGGTGTCTAAGGTGATTGCACAGCCCTGGACAGCAGGACACAGCATGGGCAGGATGCAGCATGCAACCCCCACCTTGTCCTAACTGAGGAAGAGAAAGCAGCATCCTGTTTCAGGGTGCCTGTCCTCTGAGACCTCCAATGGGGAGACCAAGCGAGGCCAGTTCGGAGGTCTTTGGTCATGGGGCATCTTTTCCTGTCCTGTCTATAGACCCGCCTGTCCATCATGTCTGTGGGCTGAGTGCCTCATGCTCGTGAGTGCATTTATTCCTGCACGCTCACAAGCACGTGCTCCCCCACCCACATGCAGGACATGCAGTGCCGTCCTCCCTGCTCCAGGCTGTGGCACAGCGTGACTTGTTCCAGGGCACACAGGAAGCCATTTGGCAGAGCTTAGCAGCCAACCTAGGCCCGTGCCCATACCGGTGCCTTCACTTCCAGACCCTCCCGCTCCCCTGCGGTCTGGGCTGCCTTCACCGACTCCTTTCAGACTGTCCACCAGTTTGAAAAAAACCCTTCTGAGGACAATGGCTCATTCACTACGGCCCGAGAGGGATTCCAAGGAGAGCCTCGGAGGTGACAGGCCCCCTCTCCGTTCCCAGCCCCTTTGGCTGACATTTCCTTTCCTTATCTCGGCTGTCTGACAGCACACAGCCAGGATGAATGCACGGAGTCGCATAGTCGCTTTCCTAAATAAACGGGGAGTATCGAATATTTGGGGAAGACATTGCCCAGTGGGGAATATCGAACAAAGATGGACCTGAACAAAGCTTGTGTGAGCACCAACGTGCAGCGTCGGTCTCGCTCTCCTCTCTCGCGCATACACGCTCACGCTCAGTCTCTCTGTCTCTGAAACAAATCAGAATAAAGGAAACTGGGAACGTTTAGCAAATGCTGACTGGCAAGGTCCATCCAGCTGCTTGTTTTTTTGGAGAAATATAACCCCACAAAGTAGGAGCTTTTCTGGTCTCTGTTTGGCTTTGCATGCCCTAGAAAAGATTGTACCTACGCAGCAAATCGCAGAGCAGGGGTCCTTTCAGAGCCTCCATACCAGGGAGAGTGGCCTGGCATTGCATGTACCAAGGTTGTGCCATTTGCAGCTGCCTCGCTAAATCTCTCCTCTCCCTTTTCTCCAGGTTGTGCAGCGCATCAAAGCCGTGGAGGCCGAGACTCGCCTGCTGGTGGTGGATAAGGAGACGGACGAATACCTGCGCAGCCTGCGCCTGACGTGCACCGAGGAGATGGTGCACACCGGGATCCTGCTGACCTCGACCGTGTCGCCAGTCAAGTCGGCCAGCAGCGACAACGGAGACGTCTGGAAGCCCCAGCTGGATCTGAGCGGCGGGGGTCTCAAAAGGCACTCGCACAGCTTCAGTTCGGAGAGCGGGAAGAAGGTAAGGGGGTGAAGGGGAATTACATGGGGCTGGGGCAGTACAGGCAACCACCTGCAAGTCCAGCTGGCCTTTGCCAAGGGTGCTGTGACTGCAGTGTCTGTGGTTGCTCTGCAGCCACCAGATGCGCACCGAGTTGGGTTTAGTAGCGAAAGGTAACAAGGTGCTTGGAAAAAACCGTGCTAGGAGTTGGCACTGACCCAGGCAGATAGGGGAAGAGCTTTCCTGGAGACTCTGCTCTCCCCACCCGTCGTGGCAGCTTCCTTGCTGGCGGCTGAAATTCTGGGGGCTCAGCAGCCATTTGAGAGGAGCTTTGGACGGATGGGCTGAAAGTGTGGAGGGAAAGCGGGTGATTGCTGCTTGAAGTGGCGTCAAGTCCTGCGCTTGCTCCTCTGGGGCTGGCAGTCCTGTCGCTGCCCCGACTGTGGTCGATGGAAGGGGATGACCTTTAGGGTGTCAGCAGGGTTTGGAGGACTGATCATCCCTGGAGCTCCTGGGCTCTGCCCTGCATCTCCTGGTATGCCCCGCAGGTGAGAGCGGGGAATGCCTGGCCACTGGGGTTTAATCAAAGCCCTGGGGCTCACAAATGCATGTTCCCCTTCCTGTACTTTTATGCAGGAGGGGAATATCTGAGGCTATTGTGATCCTGCTTTTCCTCGTGTTGGGCAGGATCTCAGCTGCTTTACAAGCTGCTTATATTTTGCCTGGGAGACTCTTCGTTGAAGTGTCTTTTACAACGGCTTTGAAGTGGGAAGGAATTCAAGGTGGAAAATGTCCAGTTTCCATGGCTGGCGCATTGCTGGGGCTGGTCTCGTGGAGACGGGACGGGCTTGCACTCGGGAGAGACGCAGGAGTGATTTATAGCTGGGCTGCCCTCGCTCGTCTGGGCTGGTGATACAGTGCAGGGGTGCTGCCTGTCTCAGGGCTGGTAATTCCCCTGGGGTTTCTAATAGCAAATGCCCCTCCTGGAGCCAGGAAACCCCCTCCTTTGACTCCGTTCTATCTTTGAGCTTGAAACCAGCCCTCTTGGGTTAGGGAGGGAGAGTTGGACCCATAGCTCTTGGGAAGGGCTCAGTCCCATTCCCCCACGTGCTGCAGCAGGGAGGTGTAGAGGGTCTGACTGACCTCTACCTTGCAGGTCCCCCCTGGGTGGCACTGGGCACCATGTGCCCACAAAGCCTGTCCTGTGGGGAGAATTACCCTGGAGGCCTGGGTAACGATAGGACCTATGTGTTACATGGTGCCCTTCATCCCTAGACCCCTGCATGCTTTAGGCATCATCATCCCCAAATGTCCTGAACTGGTAGAGAAGGGGGTTGAGATGGAGGAGGAGAGCCACACGCTCAGGTGTTGTATTTAGGTCCCGGTTTTCCTTGGGGATGTGGATGCTTACTACATCTGCTCCGTGGGATGGGAGTCGGCTCCCAGGGGGTTGCCCTGTCCAGCCCCATAATCCGGGAGTCGTTCAGACGGGTGATGCGGCGGTTGGTGAGAACCCAGCAGAGCCCGGGGCGAAGTGAGAGAAACTCAGCAAATGCCTCATTGTTCAAAGTTGCGAAATTTGTCCAAAGAGAGCTGCCGAGAATGCCGCTCAGCCAGCTCACGCCGGTCCTCGTTCACGCCCCGCTGCTGCAGTCTTGGCCGCGAGCACCCGGAGAGGGGCCTGGACCGGAGGAAGCACGGAGCCAGTCGCTACAAGCTACCTCGTCGGGTTCGGGCTCCATCTCTGAAACCTCTGCTGTGTGCATTGCTGTCGCACCTGCCCGGAGGATGTCAGGGCCACGCCAAGTCAGAGAGGCAGTGAGGACCTGGGGAGGCATTGGTGAAGCTGAAGCCTAGTTTCTCTGTTGTTCTGTATGAACCTGGAGGTGACTAGGCCTAAACTTTTGGGAGGCTGAGTAGATGCAGAATTTCCCTTTCCTTTTCGCTTTGCCAACTAGTGAAGCAACAGGGCACCGGGGTCCTGATGCTCCCTCAGTGCATCATGAAAGCTGCGGCTCGCCCGTGGGTGGCGGTGGCTTTTCATGTGCAGGACACAAAGGAACGATTTTTTGCTGGGACACGCTAGCCCGTTGGAGTGGAGCCGCAGGCACTTACATTGCATCGGCTTGGAGACTGGAAATACAGCAAGCAGTCAGGGCGGGATGGTTTGGGGAGATGTGGGTGGCCAAGCGGGCAATGGGAAAGCAGAGCCAATCGTTTCAGCGTGGGAGCATGGCACTTCCCTTCGAGCAGTCGCTCTGTATGTGGCTGCGGGGCTGGGATTGACTTGACATCGCCCAGGATTATTTTACTTCAAGACTCAAAATGACTTCTTCAAAGCTGGGTAATGAATGAGGGAGAGGGAGCACAAATGTGTTTCTGTCCTGCAAAGCCCTAGCTGGAGCTAAGGGCAGAGCTCGGGTGGGCTGGGAGCCATTTGCACAGTGCATTGTTTCAGCTTGATGAGTGCGACGCACGAGGGTGTCCTTGGTGTCCCATTCAAGGCACGCTGAGGGACAGACACTTGGGACCCTACTCGATCGTGCTTTGCGCAGGAACGGCATCGGTGAAATGGGGTACAAGAATAACGAAGTAAATAAAGTTGGGGAAAGTTAACTTCTTGTATCAGTAAAAATAAATAAATAAATAGCATTCCCACTGTAATAGGTGGCGGGCATCTCAGCGACTATTAGCAGTGACAAAAAGGGAGGAGACCAGCTGGGACCTAACCAGTCCCTAATTTCTCTGTGCTAAACATTACCCTGGGTTGTACTCATGTGTGGGAGGTCACGACTGGCTCTGTAGCTCCTTTACCAGGAGGCCGGGGCAGTGCCAGCAATGAATACTGTGGGCGCACATTGCTGCCCTGCATGGCAAAGGAAGGGGGACCCGTATTTCCCCCTAGCTGCACTCTGTCAGTGCACGGCTGGGTTTGGGAGCTGGCCTTCCTGCTCAGTCTGGGCCTTGTGTGACGTTGCCCCGTCTCTCATCACAGCTACATACCAGGTAGCACTGTTGTCCCCGTGGGTTCCCGCGGTGGCAGCCGGAGGGGCTGTCCTGTAAAAGGCCCCAGCCTTCAGCTTTGCTCCGAATGCAGGAATCTCGCCCGTTCCCACGCCGCCGGAGCTGGGAGCAGAGCACTGGTGCAGAGCGCGCGCCTGACTGACTGCAGCCCCCGTGGGCTGCACATGGACGAGCTGCTCCGGCTGCAACCTCAGGGGTCTTCTTTACCCAGCTGCAGCTTTGGAAGGACAAATAACCCTTCTCTCTCCTCCCCCTTTCCACCCCAAGCAGCTGCTGTTTGAGAGCGTATCCTGAGTAGCGCCACAGAGGCACCCACTGCCCAGGAGACTGGTCCTTTAATGACCATTGCAGTGCAACAAATCATTCAGCATTTATTACAATCCCCCTGGGACGGCACATCAGCAGGGCCCTGTGCCAGGAGGTTATGTCACCGGAGCCTGAACTGTGCTAGAATAAGCCCTGAGAATAAATGGGACTGCTGTTGTTGGGAGAACAGCCTGGGGGGGGTGTTTCACTTGCAGTACGGCACAGCATGCACAGCCAGCAGGTGCGGTCCAGCGAGAACCAAGGGGACAGGCCCCGGGATGGCGAGATGCGTTGGGCAGGGCACAGACTGACATGGAATATCCTTTGCTGCTTATTTCACCTCGGAAAGCAGCCAGGTCACAGGAGAATGGCAGGACAGAAAATAAAATAGGTGTGTTTCACCTGCTCAGCCCTCCTGGACAGCTCCGCGCCGCTTGTGTACTGGGGAGAGCCGACGGTGGAATAGCAGAGTCCGCTCTTGGGGCGTTTTTGCTGTCTTTGAGCTCCCGCGCTGCTCGTGGAGCCGCGTAGTGGGCCTGGACTCTGATCTGCCGCGTGCTGTTGGGATTCGGAGCATGCTAGATTTGAAAAGGGAGCAAAGATCACCTCATCTGACCTCCTGTGCGGGCTAGAGAATGCCACCCCGCGTCCCCGTGCTGAGCACACGGCCTGGTGTTTGCCTGGCTGGCACCTTCCAGAGCGCCAGTGGCACAGCCTCTGTCAGGGGCTGGGGTTGGCACATCCCGGAGCTGTACAGAGCTTTCCTCTGAATGGGAGGCATTGGGTGGCAGCCCCCAGACACCCGTCTCCTTGCATGAAAGCCAAGAGCAGTATCAGGAGCTAGAAGGATCCAGCCTCCTAGATCTTTGCTTTTCTCCACACTCACTTTCAAGTTGCTCTGTTCTTACCTGGGTCTAAGCTATCAGTAGAGACCGCTGGGATGGGAGTCAGCTCTGACCTATTCCCATTGCAACCAGTCATAGGAAGAGCAGAGTCAGGCCATCAGGGGACCATCATATCCGGGCATCTGCTTCTCTCCACGGTGCAGCAGCAATAGCTGAGCTTTACATGGTACCCGGGTCCTCAAACCTGTATAAGCAGCACCATGCTGTGAAGCACTATGGGGAATCACTGCTTTAGTGGCGCTCAGTTTGAAGGCCGTGGATGCTTTGTCTGGTAGAGAGGTGTCCGTGTAAGTGCCCCTTGTCTGGCCTGGCTTCCACCAAGCATAATTAATGTAAGGCTTAAATAATCCATTTGTGGTTGACTCTGCCAAACCCCTTGAATATCATCTTCATCTCTTGGCTGGAGGAAAAGCGGTGCATGTCTATGTGTGCTCTGACCTTAAACTGTCTGCACCGTGAGAAATCCAGAAGAAAGTTTGCTGTTTACTACTAGGAATAGAAAAGGACACACATCTGCTGTAAGGCTCCTGCAGAGCTGGTATGGCATCTCAGCCCCTAGCGTGCCTTACTCTAGAGAAGGGTGGTCTCCTGGGTTCGTAGCTCACGTGGTGAGCAACCTCGGTGGTTAATGCGCGCTCAGGTGGTCCGTAGATATGTGGGGTGCCAGGAAGGAGGCAGACAAGGGAGGTCCCTCATCTCTCGGGTTTGGGGCCAGGTCATAGCTCCAGGTGCAGGGAGTGGGGGTTGCAGGCTTTGCAGGAAGAGTGCCTGCACGTGAATATTGGT